AAAAAAAACGAGGTGTAAGTTTAGGGGGGAGGGTGTTCTGAATCTGAACTCTTCACTCAAGAGCGTCATGGAATTACAGCGGGAGATTTCGACAGTTTCGGAGTGGAACTTTTTATTCGAAGGATATTTAAAACAAAACTGAAAAAAGAGAGAAGAAGGAAAAAGCATATAGAAATGTATAAAAAAGAAAATCGATAAAGCAGTTGCACTGTCAAGGCTAATAACCACTCGAAATCAATTCTCTTTCCATCCTTAAAGTTAATTAGATTGAGAAATCAGAATTGAAAATGAAGCCCACCACCATAGGGTTCAAACGGTTGGGGAGAGAAGAGGTTGGGATAGTTGGGTAAGCGGAGAGAAGTAAAAAGCGATAACCACTATCAACACATCCCACTCCCACTCACCCCACAATCGACCGATTCAGGACCTGAAGACCATTCTGAGTCGCTATTTCTGACTTTCTATTCAATCCAGGTTTTAATTTTCTTATTACTAAAAATTTAGTCAAACCTATCACCCCCTAAGTCAGAGTTTAAGAAGTTTCCCGAGCATTCATGCACTCCTAAGTCGAAACAGTTATGGGCTGAGTCACCGACAACATTTCTGAACGTTTAGCTAACATCTTTTATAAAGCTCTACTCCCAGATGTCTTCAGGAGGACTTGTGTCAATGTCACAAGTTCGGGCTCTTCCAGATCTTGGAATCGATGGGTCTCTCAGTTGATACTGGAAGAACCAGAACGAAGAAAAACGGAACAAATGAAGATGAAAGACGGATGTGAGGAATGATGGACAAAAAAGAGACCATTAACATTCCAACGCTCTTACAATATCACGAAAAGGATTGAGAGAATCGATAAATCCTCCTGATCGAATTAATGAGGTAGAAAGAGGCGAACGTTCAGCAATAGGCGGCAGGTTGCACTGCCTCACTTCGAGGTCACTGCAAAAAAAACAGCCGGCATAATGGGCGGCACAGCACAAACCGGACCGGCTATACTGTATTTGACAAAGCCTTACCAGAGTACATTACCAAAGAATACATCGTTATTCGAAGACATAAAAACTGTGGTACACCACAGTATACTCTCTAAAAAACGGTAGTGATCAATGGCAAAGAAAATTCGCATAGAAACGCGTTCTTTTGTCACTTGAAGAAAATTCAGTTTCTCAATTCAATTTCCAGAGGACATTCGGAAAATTCAATTGCATCGAAACTACTCATCGAACGAACCTCGTCGTTCTCCTATACGAATGGGTCCGGGAACTTCTCCCCTATTACGGCGTCGCACACGCCGCACCCGCCGCCTATCGCACGATTGCGATGAAAGATTGGAGNGCGCAATTTGTGAGGTAGGGAGTCCTTTAATCATTTGAATTCGCTGGTCGCTCCCTTCAATTTCAATGCGGTATTGATCGTCGTTTATATAAGAGGAGTCATTTTAATTAATCAAGTCTAATAAACATGAAAACTAAAAAGAAACAGAAGAAAAAACGATAAAATCCAATGAAAAAGCAAGCCAGTCAAGGAAAAATATCGCGTCCTATCGATTTTCGGGAGGCGGGGTGAGTACGGTAATTGCAGTGACATGCCGCATGCCGCAAGGGAGAATGCCGCGATAGGGGAGAAGTTCCGTTACCCTATACGAATGACCCCATTGGGTCTCCTTCATCAGAAATAGGACTTCGTGGGAGGAACAGTAGATAGTTGATTGACTGGAAGGCTTAGAGCCATTTCGAACAATCAAAAATATATTTTGCCTAATTCCAGTGGACTTGAGGCCTCGCTGCAGCCCTCGACCTAACAGTCGGCAGCACCATTTGCTCTGAAACCTTGGAAGGTTTTGCTTAAACAAAGAGAGCGAACATAAATGGATCATGTGCTCGTAAGGACTTCATCTCTCGAGGCCATAACGGATACCATGGTTTGGCTTAAAAAATAGCTCCGGAGCGCAGGCACTTGCACACCGAAGAAGCCATTCTTCAGTGTGCAAGAAAAACGCTGGAGAAAACTCAACGCAGACAATGGAGCATGGTTCTAGAATAGTGGAGTTCAACGAGCTGTGAAGCAGAGAAAGCGTTGGCAAACAAACATAGCAATAGTGACGGCCGTGCGATTCTTAGGAAATCGACTATCTCATGCGCACAAGGGAAGATTACTGCAATGGGCTCTTGAACGGAGAGTTCTATGTGGAATCAGCTCCCGACAAAAGTTAACGACTAGTGCCATGGGTTGAAAGACTCATTCTTCACCTGACCGCTGCGACTATTGAAGGAAGATGCCAAAGAGAAACCGTACTATCGTTTCCATCTTTAAGTAGAGAGGTGCGCGGATTGTTCCAGCTATCGACAATAACCAGGTTGCTCGCGCATACCACGAAATTGTACAAATGTCTGCTTGACTAGAGATTGAGAAAACTGATCCCGATTTACGGGAGCAGTACGGTTCAGGCCTATAGGCCTACAAAAGATGCTATCTCCATAACGAAACAAGTCACGAAGAAGACCGAGAAAAGTGTAGACCTTGCTACCCAGCCTGGGTCGATTAGAGAAGGCATTCAACCGCCTACTGCCACCGGTACTTCAAACTTTCCAAAACAGCTGATCTCTCTAATGAGGGCTTGCACGGTATCATCTTCCTACTGTCGGGACCGAACAGAAATGACATTCTCTGCTTGGTTCAGATAGTAGGAAGATGATACCGTGCACAGCAGCTACGATAGTGGGAACAAGTGCTGGAAGAGCTCAGGATTACCTTTTGAAGAAATAAATTGAGTTCGAAGATCTGAGGAAGCTATCATGTGAAGATTCAAAGAAGGGCAGGGAGTAAGATTCAAAATACTTCCTGAAACGTTCATTCCTCTTCTTTCTAGCAATGGAGATACTGTAGATAAAAGGAAATGACGGCTACTGAAGACCTCTGAGTGTTGTGCGAGGGCTTCCATGCCAGTGTATCGGGTACAGCGGAAGGACGACGAGTTTATCGAGTACGGCAGGAGGATGGCAGTGATAAGGACAAAAGAGGGCAAGGTCTGACTAGTGGGTGAATGGCCACTTCTCACTGAGAAAAATCGTATTACTGTCTATAATTTGACAAAAAACACAGAATCAATCGGCTGCGATAACTGCAGCACATGGACTGCCATAATACGACCGTCAGAATGTTTACCTTTGCTGCTATCTGTGTTGAGACGAAAATACAGTACATCTGAGGAAGGATTTCTAGAAAGAAAAGCTTTCTAACCATTCATTCTAGATAAAAACCTTTTTCAAACTGAATCTGCTATTGATGAAAGAGGCATGCCTCAAAGAAAACTTCAATAGTTCCCAATTCCCATTTGCATGTTGCATCATGCCTATTCAGGGAGGAAAATGGTGTGCAAATGGGAATTGGGAACTTATTGAACTTTGCGGTAATCTACTGTAATTCATAGTCTAACCCACTATAGTGGAGGAAAACATCTGTTAGTATCGAAAATGGACTGTGCCCAGGATTTGCTTCCTCCTTACCCCTTCCACTCACGGGAAAACTCTTTAGGCCACAACAAGTACTGACTACTGATGGCTTCGTACCGAAGGTGGTGATTTTTCAAGAGAACATGGACCCTAGGAAAAAACGTGGAAGTGGTATAATGAGCCCAGGAAAGGGGAAGGAGCCACACTCAAGAATGGGGCACTATGAGTCTGAGTATTTACACTGGGAAGAAGCTTTGGCTGAGGATCAGAGCAGGATAAAAGTTTTTAGAGCTATTGTGCTTGCACTGCTTCCTCAATTCACACTACCTATGAGCCACTGCACTACCCGCCTACCTATGTATTTCGCATCGACCCTACAGAAAAGAAAAAGTCAAAATCTCGAAATTATGGGTCAGGAAGAGCCATGGCGGTGTTTTCGCCGAACTAGGTCGCTCTGAACGACGATTTCTGATGTTTAAGTCAAAGTCGCCGAGATGTCCGTGTTTCTGGCAGTGACTAAGTCGGCGTCTCATGACTGTTCTACTAAAGTGCGAGCCCTAATCAAGGGTGTGGAAGTATGAACGTAGTTCCAAAGTAGATAAGACTAGAAGAGCAATTGCATAACAAACACCTCTATACACAAATATATTTGGGTTTGGGTGTGTGTTGTGGTGTTATCATTGTGGAAACAGAAGATTAGTGTTGATATGATATCAAAGGAATTCAGCACGATTTTTTGTTGAGATAAAAATGAAGACAGAGATGGGTACGAGTTCGTCGGGATGGAACTGGCAATAACAAAATTTCCCGTCTCTGATGATCAGGGGGAAGGGGGACAAGAAAGGGAGTGAAAATGTGGGAGTTAGCCTCTGGATACATGCCCTCACGTGTTAAATTCACGTCAAATTCAAAGTGATTGATGTGTTTATTATTTTCTGCAACTCTTCACGAGGTTTGTAAATGAGCTTTATTAGGCTTACGTTTCGGCGGGGTCGCCTTCTTCAGAGCCTGAAAGGATCATTTCAATTTGTGGCTATCCGACCAAACGTCTCCACTGCCCTACTGAAGTTCGAGGCCCCCAGAGCACGCAGGTGATCAAAGGAGAACCACTCACCGTAGCTTTTGGATCCCTCGAAACCACCCAGTAACCGATGGTACCAATCGACTAGTGTCAGCTGGGGTAGGTCTTCGTTCATAGTCGCTGCGAGAAGGCCAACTTTATATAAGGCCGCAGCTTTCGCGTGATTGCGAGACATTCCTCCCGCCAACTTTATATAAGGCCGCAGCTCTCGCGTGATTGCGAGAAATTCCTTCCTACGATTCATTGTTGGATC